AGCAGCAGCAGCTCCTGCTGCTGCTTCTGCAGCGCCTCCTCCCTCAACTTGCTGCTGCTGTCTATCGTTTGCTGCTGCTGCTGCTGCTGCTGCTGCAACTCACCGTCGATAGGCGGGTGCTCTGGACCCCTGCAGCAGTCACCAGGGGGTACACCCGCATCAAGCCCCTCTTGCTGCTGCTGCGCGGTCGCTGCTGCTGCTGCGGCTGGCGTTGCTGCAGTTGCTGCTGCTTCTGCTGCTGCTGCTGCTCCGTGCGTCTCTCTCTTGCTCCAGAAGCGAAGTCTCCCAGCCCAGCTCCTGGGCTGCAGCTGCACAGCTGCGGGGTCAATGCTACAGCTGTTATGGCTACTGCTGCTGCTGCTGCTGCTTCTGCTGCTACTGCTGCTATTGCTACTTTTGCTGCTGCTGCTGCTGCTGCTGCTGCACTGCTCTCGATTGGTTTGTGATGCACCCAGCAGCATGCACATCCCGCTGGCGTTTTCCGAGCTGCGTAAGGAAGAAGGGCACGTGCTGTTTTCGCTGCTGCTGCTGCTGCTGCTGCTGACGCTGCTGTCCTTATTGCTGCTGCTGCTGCTGCTGCTGCTGCTGCTGCTTCCGTCCCAGCTCAGAGACCTCACGCTCCTATAGAGGCCCCTGCCAACGCTGAGAAGGGCACGGTAGGCAAGCAGCGAGCGTTGGGTCTTTGGCGGGACGCAGGAGTTTGTGCTGCTGCTGCTGCTGCTGCTGCTGCTGCTGCTGCTCATCGTGCTGCTGCAGCCTCTGCTGTTGCAGCTTCTATCATGCCTATCTGCAACACAGATTGCTGTGCTGCTGCTGCTAGCAAGTGTGCTGCTGCTGCTGTTCAGGGGCAGAGGCCCGCTGTCTCCGCCTACCCGGTACACTCCTGCACTAGGAAAATTCTTCTCCTGCCGTTGCTGCTGCTGTTGCTGCTGCTGCTGCTGCTGCTGCTGCTGTCTAGCGAACAGCTCGTGCGACAGCTGAGCAGCCCGCCAGGAGAGAAGCGCCCCGTCAGCCACCAAACCATGCTGAGTCAACGCCAGGTCTCTTTCTTCTTGCAGCAGCTGCTTGAGCATCTGCTGCTGCAGTTGCTGCTGCTGGTGCTGCTGCTGCTGCTGCTGTCTGTGGGGTTTTTTGCTGCTAAACAGAGACAGCTGCAGCGCAGGA